TCACTACGGAAGTAGATTACCCAACCTTTCTTCCAAGGAGTAACCGGTGGGTTTGAACCACCAGTCTTCTCGTTAGCAGTCAAATGCCTTAGGCACTACGCCACTAGAGCTCTCTAAAAAATCATAACTATATTAAATAAAAGCTTGTTTGTTGAATGAATATATACAAATTATGGTGAAAACTGTGCATTTCCTGGCTCTGTGGAATCACTTCCTATGTATCACAGATCCCACAAGGTAATACAATGCCTCAATATGGTGGTTTTATGGTTTATAAAGTTCTTTTCTATAAATTATGTGATTACATAAAGTTACATTGGAAGAGAGGTGAAGCTAGTATTAGTTTTCTCATAGCAGGATGAGAAAGCAGTCTTCACTAAAGATATACTAGAGAATAATGAAGCAGGACTAGCACTGGAAAGCCAGGGTCCTTCTAATGCAGACTGCAGATGTCTTACTCACTTGCTTTCTGTCATTCAAGGGATGCCTTGGAAGATGCTTGAACAAACCCCCTGATATTAAGCTCAGAAGTAGACCCTAAAAGGGAGACACACTCACACCTCTGGCCTCAGTTTGTCTTTCCTTTGAATTTTAAACTTTGATTGTCTTCTTATCAAGTGGGCCCCATTCCAGGAAACTTCCTCAGGGATGAGGAAGGGCCCAGGAGCCTAAATTGGAGCTGCTCGGTCAAAGCCATGTGATCGATATCTACTGAAAAAAGGCTCCAGTCTCAGTTGGACTCAGGTGTGCTTCCTCTTCTCTGTGTTGTCTGTAACCTCCCCCAGGCTGTGGTTGGTGGTTAGACCCACCGTTTTCTCCTTTTTGCTTCCTGTTTTCTTATCTTCTCTGTCTTCCAAACACTTTCATTGCTTCTTATTTTCTTCCAGAGTTTGATGCCAGATAGCATTGCATTTCTCTGAATGACCCAGAAGTGACAGCTTATCCAAACGCCACCTCATGGCTGAGCCCATTTCTACCAGTCTTCATAATAAATGACTGTCACTCTGAAAGGTCCTTTGTCACCAATCATGTTCTGCAGCCTCAGGGGCCTTCAGATCTACATAATCCACTATTGTGCCACAGCTATCTGAAGTTAAATTACTTCCCGAAAGCTGCAACTCTAGGACTCAGTGAGAAATACCAAAGTTCTTTCCTTGACTACTTAAATTTCAATTCTAAGGAAAGGGTAACTGGTAACCTAATAGGCCTGTGAGATCCAGAAAATAGTTTCCACTCCAGGCTTCTAACATCTGTACAGCCTAGCAGCGATACAAGTATTTTCCTCTATTATTGTAACTTAAAAATATTTTTTCTTGAAAAAAGCTTGTCATCATCAAGCTTTACTTCCACTCATGGAGCTAAAGGGAATCATACTAACCTGTCAGTTTACCTATGATCTTCCTTCTGAAAGACTAAAGAAGTTTATGAAACATACAAGGAGGAAGAAGGCAAGAAGGGCCCTGAGAAACACTTAGTAGATGCACAGGCTGTGGGGTAAGGGAAGCTTGCCAGGGCTGAGTACAGTTAAGATGTAAATATGGCAGCAATCTAAAGAGTAAAAGGAAACTGGAGGGTGAAAAACAAAATATGAAAGGAGAAAAATATCTTCTTGGCTTGGGTGAGAAAAGAAATTCACAATCACACTTAAGCAGAGCCTACATTCTACAGGATCTTCTAAGGGGGGGGGGGCGAAGAAAAGTCAAAGTAGAACTGATCTAACATCAGAAAGGGGCTGGGGGCAATCTTATACTCAATGCCCTCCCTAGCTCACTCTGACTTACACTGTCAGTTTTCCCATATTGTTGTTGTTGTTGTTAAGTGCCGTCGAGTCGTTTCCGACTTATAGCGACCCCATGCACAGCAGAACGAAACACTGCCCGATCCCGCGCCAGCCCCACAATCCATTGCTATACTCGAGCCCATCATCACAGCCACTGTATCAATCCATCTCCCTGAAGGCCTCCCCCTCTTTCGTCGACCCTCCACCCTACCAAGCATGACATCCTTCTCCAGGGAATGGTCCCTTCTTACAACATGACCAAAATAGGCGAGACGAAGTCTGGCCATTCTTGCTTCCAAGGAGCATTCTGGCTGCACTTCCTCCAGGACAGATCTATTAGTTCTTTTAGCAGTCCACGGTACTTTCAGCATTCTTCGCCAGCACCACAACTCAAAAGCATCAACTCTTCTTCGGTCTTCCCTATTCATTGTCCAGCTCTCACATGCATACCAGGCGATTGGAAATATCATGGCTTGTGTCAGGCACACCTTAGTCCTCAAGGAGATATCCTTCCTCCTCAGCACTTGAAACAGTTCCTTCGCAGTTGACTTCCCCAATGCTACACGTCGTCTAATGTCCTGACTGCTGCTTCCGTTGGCATCGATTGTAGAACCAAGCAACGTGAATTCCTTGACAACCTCAATCTTCTCTCCATTTATTGTGATGCTGCTCATTGGTCCAGTTGTGAGGATTTTTGTTTTCTTTATGTTGAGATGTAATCCATACTGCAGACTGTATTCTTCAACCTTCATCAGTAGGTGCCTTAAGTCATCCTCACTTTCAGCAAGCAAAGTTGTATCATCTGCATATCTCAGGTTGTTAATGATTCTTCCTCCAATCCTGATACCACGTTTTTCTTCATATAGTCCAGCTTCTCGGATTATTTGCTCAGCATATAGATTGAATAAGTGTGGAGACAGAATACAACCCTGACGCACTCCCTTCTTGATTTTAAACCATGTAGTGTCCCCTTGTTCTGTTCGAACGACAGCCTCCTGGTCAAGGTACAGATTCCTCATGAGTACAATCAAGTGCTCAGGGATTCCCATTCTTCTCAATGTTATCCATAATTTGTCATGATCCACACAATCAAATGCCTTTGCATAGTCAATAAAACACAAGTAAACATCCTTCTGGTATTCTTTGCCTTGAGCCAAGATCCATCTGACAACAGCTATGATATCCCTTGTTCCACATCCTCTTCTGAATCCAGCTTGAACCTCTGGAAGTTCTCTATCAATATACTGCTGCAAACGTTTCTGAACTCTCTTCAGTAATATCTTACTTGCATGTGATATTAATGATATTGTTCTATAATTTCTACATTCTGTGGGATCCCCTTTCTTTGGAATGGGCACAAATATGGATCTCTTCCAGTCAGTTGGCCAGGTAGCTGTCCTCCAAATCTCTATATTGGGGTTGGTTAAAATTTGTATTTTGTTTTAACATATAAAAAAAAAATCTTATTTGCCTAAAACGCACTTTCCAATTAAAACTGCTTTGTTTCAAGAGCCCATGAAAATATTGTATTTTCTAATTTCCTGTTCTTACCTACACACACATACACAGGAGAAAACCATACGGTATGTTTTTTTTTTAAAACAAGGAAAAGCAGATTAAAAAAAAAAGTAAAAAATAAAACAAAACCCCAAATTTATCCCAAAACGACTATTGCCTTTATTTTTTTTCCCAGCCTTGGTTTAAAGGGCTCAGTGAATCTGAAGAGTTTTCCATCTCTTCCATTATGTTTTGATTATAGTATAGATTTGGATCAGAAAGCATGAATAATTGTTTTTTAAAATGCTTTCACCCAAGGTGACTGGTAGAAACCTTTGCAAAGATGTTAAATCATTAAAATGAAGTATACAAAAGATGTTTCTTGAGAAAAATCTACCATGGGTTAATTACATCAGAATAACTATCAGCATTATTATAATGTATGAGGATTAGTAACAAATGCTTATGAAAGATGTTCAAAAATATGTATATTCACAAAGTTATAATTCTTTTACAAAGGTGTTGAGGTTTTAGATGAAGATATAAATACACACATATGAATTTAAGATTTCATACTTTTTGCATTAAAAAAACTGGTTGTTTATGAGGAAAAATCACAAAAGACAATATTTACTCCTTGATAAGAGACTGTAATGGTGGATATATGTCATTATGCATTTGTTCAAACCCAAAGAACTATACAACACAAGAATTAATCTAATGTAAACTACAGATTATAGTTAATAATAATATACTGACATTGGTTCATTAATTGTAACACATGTACCACACTAATATAAGATGCTAGTAATAGGGAAAACTCTGTGTGTATGTTGGAAAGGGGTGGAAATAAGGGTGTAGGATTGGGGTGTTGTTGTGGCTGTTATGTGCTATCAAGTCAACCCTGACTCATAGCTACCCCTCCTTGGGTTTCCGTAGTGATACTGCCTTGGCAACCCAAGGAGGGGTCGCTATGAGTCGGGTCCGACTCAGTGGCACATAACAACAACAACAACAACAACAATCACTACAGAAGTAGATTGTCCTATCTTCCTTCCGAGAAGTGGCTAGTGGGTTTGAACCGCCAGCCTTCTGGTTAGCAGTCAAGTGCCTTAGGCATTATGCTACCAGAGCTCCTACAATTGGGGTAGGTATATGGAACTCAATTATTCTGTAAATCTAAAACCTACGGCAAAAATAAAGTCTATTTAATTACTGGGGGGAAAAAAACTCTAAAAGCACAAGGATCAAAAGAAATAACTTTCTTTGGTTCTATTTACAAACATAAATAGATGATATATGCCTTTATCATGTAAGAGTGATTTAAAACAAATTAATATATAGAAAAAAGATTTTTTATTATACTTTGCTATTCTTCTTGACCATAATATAGTGTTAGGTACAAAGCAATAGTTAGATTCTGTTTGTAAACAACAAAACATATTTTCATTAAAAATCATCTACTAATACTTACACTTTTCTTTGTACACTGGAAATACTGGACTAAATGACTTCTTAGATACGCCATGTCAACTATGTTTTAAAGTTTCTAAAATGCATTTTTTCCAGGGTTTTGGTCTTACTGGTCTTACTTAGTAGAGCCATCTATGATGCTTCTATGGTGCTCTGGGATATGAATAAATCATCTTGAGTCCCCCACGTCCACAAGCAAGTAACAGGGCTTTCACCTCTAGTCTTCATATTGCTGATTTTTGTTTGAAGTTTACGGGCAAGATTTAGCTCCATAGAGATGGATGGAAACGCAGGTCTGACAAGTAACATCAATATCAGGACTGAAAGTCCCAGGACTACAAACCACTGTATAGGGAAACACATGGAGTAGATTATAATTTCAGTTACAGGTATTTTATACCAATAGTATAAATCTGTCTTCAATATCACTTCATTTCT